CCGTGCACTGTAGCACACCAGGCTTCCCTGTCCATCACCAACTCCTGGAGTTTACTCAAACTCATGTCCATTGAGTCAGTAATGCCATCCAAACATCTCATCCTCTGTCATCCCATTCTCCTCCCGCTTTCAATCTTTCCCAGCATCAGGGTCTTTTCCAACTGGTCAGTTCTTCTCATCAGGTGGCCAAAGTACCTGGAGTTTCAGCTTCAACATCAGTCCTTCCAGTGAATATTCAGGACTGATTTCCTTTAGGATGGACTGGTTGGATCTCCTTGCAGTCCAAGGGACTCTGAAGAGTCTTCTCCAACACCACAGTTCAAAAGCATCAATACTTTGGCGCTCAGCTTTCTTTATAGTCCAACTCTCACATCCATACATGACTACTGCAAAAATCATAGCTTTGACTGGATGGACCTTTGTTGGCAAAATAATATCTCTGGTTTTTAATTTGCTGTCTGGGTTGGTCATAGCTTTTCTTCCAAGGAGCAAGCATCTTTTAATTTCATGGCTGCAGTCACCATCTGCAGTGATTTTGGAGCCCCCCAAAATAAAGTCTCTCGCTGTTTACATTGTTTTCCCATCTATTTGCCATGAAGTGCTGGGACTGGATGCCGTGATCTTATTTTTCTGAACATTGAGCTTTAAGCCAAATTTTTTACTCTCNGTGATCACACCATTGTGATTATCTGGGTCATGAAGATCTTTTTTGTACAGTTCTTCTGTGTATTCTTGCCACCTCTTCTTAATATCTTCTGCTTCTGTTAGGTCCATACCATTTCTGTCCTTTATTGTGCTCATCTTTGCATGAACATTTCCCTTGGTATCTCTAATTTTCTTGAAGACGTCTCTAGTCTTTCCCACTCTATTGTTTTCTTCTATTTCTTTGCATTGTTCACTGAGGAAGGCTTTGTTATCTCTCCTTGCTATTCTTTGGACCTCTGCATTCAAATGTGTATATCTTTCCTTTTCTCCTTTCCCATTAGTGTCTCTTCTTTTCTCAGCTATTTGTAAGTCCTCATCAGACAACCATTTTGCCTTTTTGCATTTCTTTTTCTTGGGGATGGTCTTGATCACTGCTTCTTACACAATGTCACGAACCTCCATCCCTAGTTCTTCAAGCACTCTATCAGATCTAATCCCTTGAATTTATTTGTTACTTCCACTGTATAATCATAAGGGATTTGATTTAGGTCATACCTGAGTGGTCTAGTGGTTTTCTCCACTTTCTTCAATTTCAGTCTGAATTTGGCAATAAGGAATTCATGATCTGAGCCACAGTCCGCTCCCAATCTTGTTTTCTTGTTTTGGCTGACTGTATAGATCTTCTCCATCTTTGGCTGCAAAAAATATAATCAATCTGATTTCGGTATTGACCATCTGGTGATGGCCATGTGTAGAGTCTTCTCTTGTGTTGTTGGAAGAGGGTGTTTTCTATGACCAGTGCATTCTCTTGGCAAAACTCTATTAGCCTTTCCCCTGCTTCATTCTGTACTCCAAGGCCGAATTTGCCTCTTACTCCAGGTATTTCTTGACTTCTGACTTTTGCATTTAGTCTTAAGGGAGTCAGACTTAGAGTGGCCTGTAGGTTTGTAAAGTGCCTCTAGATTTGAATACAGGCCATTTCACTAAATAGGAAATATACTGCTCAGTAACACTGCATGTAAATGCCCAAGATTAAAATAATAAGATCATTTTGCTATTGAATCAATTGTTAGCATAAAATTATTTTGAATTATTAATATAAAAAATAAAGAATGGGTTGCAGTGAAACAGATGTATTTGTCCACTTTATACTACAAATAGAATCTGAATCCTAATGCTATTACAGTGTTACTACCCTATTGGAGAAGGGTAGGTGAGAGAGACTGAATGTTGATCAGGCAATGGATATCACTGGGTTGAATGGGATGTGGTAGGATCTGTTTCAGGGTTCATGGGTTTACCTTTTTTCAATCTCTCTTTATTTGTGAATCTCCCCGTAAACATGGGTGAAGTTCTGGGGGCCAAGAAGTTATGTTGCAGGTCATGTAATAGATAAAGTGCAAGAAAATTTTAGGCATAATTTGTCACTTTTCAAAATAACTGTATTTCTAATGTATGGCTATAGAAACTGGGGAAACAAATACATTTTATATTAATTTCTGTATTTCTTGTTCAGTTCAGTCGCACAGTGGTGTCTGACTCTTTGCAACCCCATGGATTGCAGCACACCAGATTTCCTTGTCCATCACCAACTCCTGGAGCTTGCTCAAACTCATGTCCTTCCAGTTGGTGATATCATGCCCCAAAGCTTTTCAAGCTTTTCAGGTTCTAGAGTTGAAATCTCAGGTTTGCTGAACTCCTCAGTAGCTCTCAACAATTTCTGTTTGTTTTAGTCTTTTTTTTTTTTTTTGGTTCTCATGCAATCTGACTTTCCCCTTCCTACAGACTTCAAGAAAGCTGCATTTCTTCCAGAGCATCTGCTAATCATCTGAGGTAGCTTGTAAGTCTCTTGGCCTCTTCCTCATCCCTTGGCCTGATGAGGGATTATCTTTTCAGTCCCAAAGGCTGCCATCCCAGAACAAATTCCCAGCGCTTCATGCCTTGTTATGGCAGCAGCCTCTCCACTTCTGTCTCCCATCCAGATTCTAGTTTGCCCTGGAATACAGAACAGCTTGGACCCTGCTGCTCCTCTCAACTGTTTACTTTGCCTAATGGACTCTGCAGTCCTTAACTTGGCCTTCAAGGCCTTCCCCTGTCTAGTCTGAAAGTTCCCTCTTTGCCTTCTCCTTGCTGCATCCTGGTGTGGCTTGTGCAGTAAGACCTTGCCGAGGTGTGGCTTATTGGAGTTCAAGGGACCCCAAAGACCTTCCAGATCAGTCTTCCCCAAATCGGTGTTTTCATTCAGAAAAGACTTCAGTGGCCAGGCANGCAAAGTAATGTCTCTGCTTTTTAATATGCTATCTAGGTTTGTCATAGCTTTTCTTCCAAGAAGCAAGCGTCTTTTAATTTCATGGCTGTGGTCACCATCTGCAGTGAATTTGGAACCGAAGAAAATAAAGTCTGTCACTGTTTCCATTGTTTCCCCATCTATTTGCCATGGAATGATGGAATCAGGCCTGGCGTGCTGCATTTCATGGGGTTGGAAAGAGTCAGACATGACTAAGCGACTGAACTAAACTGAATTGAACTGATGGGATCAGATGCCATGATCTTCATTTTTTTGAATGTTGAGTTTTAAGTCAACTTTTTCACTCTCCTCTTTACTTTCATCAAGAGGCTCTTTAGTTCTTCGCTTTCTGTCATTATGTGTGGTGTCATCTGCACATCTAAGGTTATTGATATTTCTTCTGGCAGTCTTGATTCCTGCTTGTGCTTCATCCAGCCTGACATTTTGCACGATGTACTCTGCATATAAGTTAAGTAAGCAGGGTGACAATATACAGCCTTGACGTACTCCTTTCCCAATTTTGAAGCAGGCTGTTGTTCCACGTCTGGGTCTGTTGTTTCTTGACCTACACATAGATTAAATAATAAATAATTTAAATAATTTAAGAAAATACCCGTTGTTTCCTTCTGCAGTTCTCCGTGGTATATGGTTTAATATAGAGCAGACATTTCTTTCTGTTTTTAACTTTATTTTCAGATGCACTGGGTCTTCATTGCTGCGTGGGCTTTCTCTAGTTGCAGCGAGCGGGGGCTACTCTCTGGTTTCAGTGTGCGGGCTGCTCACTGTGGTGGTTTCTTGTTGCATAGCATGGACTCCAGGGCACCGCAGGCTCCAGTATTACAGTGCTTAGGCTCAGCAGTGCACGGGCTCAGTGTAAGGTACAGTTCCGGCGAGGCAGAAAAGGAAAGGCGACCTCAACAGAAGTAGGTTACCTTTATTCAGGCAAGGAGGGGCGACAGTCGGCCTAACGACCAGGCTGAGCGCCGAAAGGGATCAGGGAGGCTTCATACTTATAGGGAGGTTTGTGGAAGCGATAAGGGAAACGTCAATCAAGCGGGATATTTTGAGTATTCTTTTGTTGAGATGACACTTGTAGTTGGGCAGGGGGTGATAAGTCTTCTGGGCGGGTGGAGGGGGTGGTAGGTTTCCCGACAGGGGGAGATAAGTCCCAGATAGATGCAGCTGGCCTGGAGCATCAGGATGCAACTAAAGTTATGCTTTGTTTTCTCCAAAGTTAGATGATTCAGCAAGGGGCCTCTGAGACTGTTGTTCTCTTTTCTAGACCCCAAAGACTTCTTCACTCAGTAGTTACGGCTCACAAGCTTAGTTGCTCTGAGGCTTGTGGGATCTTCCTGGTTCAGGGCTCTTAACCCTTGTATCCTGTATTGGCTGATGGATTCTTTACCACTAAGCCACCAGGGAAGCCCTTTATTTCTTATTTAATCTGTAAATTTTTATTTTATAAGTTACATATTTAATTATTTAATATTACTGAGAATTCTTGATAAATTTGCATTCGATTATACCACATTATTTTTTTTTCCATTTGTTCAGTAGGCTTCTTGTTTATTTCGTTTGCTCATTTTTATACAGGTCTCTGTTTTTCTCTATTGAAAAGTTTGCGACCATTTTCATTATTATTCCTTTTGAAGTAGTTTCTCTTTTTGTTTGCTATTGAAATCATTTTTCTCTGTATTTGTATGCAAGTCATATAGTTGTAGATTTATTATTTATCATGCTTGAGACTCATGTTTATGTCTCTTAAACATAAGACTTCCTGCCATTAACTTTCAAAAAAGCCCTTCCCCTTGTCTCTTGGACTACTGTCACAGCATTGTAGCTTCTCTTCCCATACTCCATGTATCTTAATCTTTCTTCCATACTTCTGTTCTCTCCTCCCTGCACTGTGTATTTCAGCCCTAATTTTTTTCTAAAGAAATTTTATGTAATTTTCTTTAAATAAATCTGCTTCTTCCCTTTTGTTGTGATGTCTTTTCATGTCATTAGTTTCACTTATCCCTTTTATTTATGCAGTCATTTAAAACAAATTTATGATGTTTTCATACAGATCCCTCCCTCAGGGTTGGATATCTCAGGAGAAACATTTTAATCAGTTCCCCAAGAGGAATAGAGAAGCCTCCATGATCCACCTGTGCTGGTAAGTTAGCATTTTTTCTATCTCCTGTGGTCCTTCCTCATTTCCAGGTTTGTGTGGTCGTCTTTATTCCAACATCACACCCCAAGTAAGTCCTTTTTACCTGTCTATAAGAGGGTGCCAAAACCCAAACCCAAATGTGACAGAGGCATGCACCCACCTGGCTTTCTTTCCCTCTGCTCAGCCTCTGGGGCAGTAATAATTAACAGATGCTTAGAATTTTGATTTTTATTCTCTCTTCATTTCAACACCTGGTGGTTTACTTTTTATTTGCAATTGTGCTTTTATGCCTTTAAAATATTTTTTTGTTATATTTTACCTAGGCTTCCTAGGTGTTTGTAGGAAGAGTACTTTCAGATCAGCGTAGAGGAAACATTCTTTGTTACTTTTCTATTTAAAATATACTAAATTAAAATTATTTTTCCAATTGCTTTATTATCTGTGTTCCTGGGAGGCAGCCCTCCCACTTCTTTGCCTACTAGCTTTAATATCATGGTATTTCTTCAAGTGCTTTCTATGTTTCTGCACCCTCCCCTTCAGCTGGCATTGTTTTCTTATTCTGAGCCGTGGGAATATTCTTAGGGCTTTGATATGAGCTTTCTTCTACAGAAGCCCTAACTATTTTACAGGAGCGATTTTCAGTTAATTTCTTGGCCTAATAAACTATGAGTTTAGTAACTGAGGTTAACCCTCCACACCTAGGGCTACTGCAGGTTTGTGTTCCTAGCCTTGGCCTAATGATGGCTTAACCATCTACAGGTTTCATTGTAGTTGCTGCTTCTGTTGTTGTTCTCTTTCTGGGCGTTTATGGGAGAAAAACATGATTACTTAGTCTCGACTGTGTATGAGTTTCTCCTTGGATGTTCCATCACACCCAATGAATGTATCTGTTTCCAATAAACTCTGTTCCTTTCGGCTTCATCTCCCACTTAGACCGGTGTGGTAGAAGTTCACTGTTACTACTGGTACGTTGAATTTTCCACTTGCTCCTAAGATTGTGTGTGTCTTGTAGTTCTGTTCTCAGATGCTCAGATGCAACCCCATGAACTGTAGCCCACCAGGCTCCTCTGTCCATGGGATTTCCCAGGCAAGAACCCTGGAGTGGGTTGCCATTTCCTTCTTAAGGGGATCTTCCCAACCAAGGGATTGAACCTGCATCTCTTAGCTCTTCTGCATTGGCAGGTGGATTTTTACTACTAGCGCCACCTGGGAAATCTGTATATCTTCCATTTCTTGTTGTATTTTATCTGACATCTATATGTGTGAGAAGTGTCAAGGAGGCAAAGCTTCCTATTCAACTCAGTTTGCATACTAACAAAAAGTAAAGCAAAGTAGTGAATAAGGAAAAACAAATGTAGGAAGTCACAGAAGGGGACCCCTGCTTCCAATAAGCTTGTTCTAAGTATTGGAAGCTCACCCATCCTCCAACAATATCTTTAAAAAAACCCCAGAGCTCAACACCTGAGTGTATCACATTATTAAAGAGATCAGAAAGATGGAGAAGCAAGGCTAGGAAAACCCTTCCTGCGTGAGCTGAGACAGTTAACCATTTGCCGGATCTGGAGATGAGTGGAGACTCTAGTTTGTTCTAGTTAGTGTGTCTTTACTAGGAGAACAATAAATTTGCAGATTTTGATAGTTGCATAGGCTGGTATGGCATATTGAAATCTAAAAGATGGTTAGTTATCTCTAGAAAGTCTTGCTGGGATCAGAGGCAGCAGAGAGTATTGGAGACCTGGAAGAGAAATACAGTACAGAGTCTTCCTCAGGCCCCTTGTATGAACAGCACAAATCCTCAATAGGAGGAGAGTCTTAACAGTCATATCTCAGGTATTTCTCTGAAGAGATAAAACCAGAAGTGAAGCGAGTCCAAATAAACCTGCAAGCTAACCTCCATTTGGTTCAGTTATGGAATGAATAGAGAAGATCCATCACTAGTCCTCTCTTCCTAATGGAGGAAAGAGTAAATCTTCTGCATGTATGTTGGGATGGGGGTGTCATACTGAGTGTTTTCTCTGACCACAGTGAAATGAAATTAGAAATCAGTAACTAAAAGTAAGTTTGGAAAATAAGAAACACATTTCTTAAAAAAAGCCTCTTTGATCAAAGGGGAAAAAAAATCAGAGAATTATTTTTTCTTCAGAGAATTTTTAAAAATTTTGAATGAGAAAATTTTTAAATTTATGTACCAAACTTGAGGGATGTCACCAACTATATAACAATAAGTGCATATACTAGGAAAGTGGAAAACCGATTACTAAAATTCATCTTAGAAAGCTGGAAAAATAAGAGCAAACTCAATCCCAAAAATTGAAAGGAAGAAATCAGAAAGGTGAAAGCAGAAAAAAAAGAACACAAATATGCAATTTAGTGAGCATAGATTAAAGTAATTTCAGTAACAAAATTGAAAAGCATGTGGCAAAACTAATCAGGAAAAAAGAAAGGTAACAGATTTCCAATATCAGGAATGAAAAAGAGGAATCATACTGCAGAACATCTAAACATTAAAAATTTAGTGAAATGTATTCTGCTTATTACTCAAAAATTTAATTAATTTTTAAAAAACTTTGAAAAACTAAACTTACCATATGGATCAGAAGTAATAGAAAATATGGTTTTTCCTAAATATGTTTACAAAAGAAATGATTTAGCATCTTCTCTATGAAGGAATTTTCAAGATAGGATAGCTACTCAGGTGAATTTTTCTAAACATTTAAAAAAGAAATTGTACCAAATTTTTTACAAAATCTTTTAGGAAAGAGAGAGAACATACTTCTCAGCTTTCTTGTAAAGCCAGACTAATGCAGAAATGAGAATTTGACAAGAATGTTACAACAAAAGAAAATTGCAAGCTGATATATCAGGAAAATAAACAAAACTCCAAAATATTGTCAAATTATAATGAAATTTAGCCAGAATGTTATGAAAGTAATCTATAAAAATATATCATGACTCAGTAGTTATTTGAGGAATTCCAAGATTAGCATTTGAAAAGTGATCAGTGGGATTCACTACATTAACAGAATAAAGGAAAAAGAGCCATCTCAATAGAGGCAAAAAAATTATTTGATGTAATTCAAAACCAATAAATGACAGAACTCCCAGGAAGGTAGTGAAATTTAAATTGCAAAATGAAAACCTTATTCATGTAACACTTGAAAATTCTCTTTGTCCTGGTGAAGTTGAAACTCAGACATTGTGACCTTTGATCTTTACTCAGCACTTTGATGGCCTCAGACCTCATGGGCTTCAGTTACCTCACAGGATCCTCATAGCACCCAAGCAGATTTGTTCAGTTCAGTTCAAGTCAGTTTTATGGGCAGCCACTTATGACCAAGTTGCCAGCACTGAACTTTTAAGATAATTGTCTTCAGTATAGGGAAGGAGGCAAGAAGAAAGCCAAAGAGATTAATACTTTTAAATCAAATTTTAAAATGTTATGCTTTAAAGGACAATTTAAAGAAAATGAAAACACAGCTTGCAGAATGGAGAAAATATTTGCAAATTATGTATCTGATTAAGATGTATCTGGATTATACCTATAAACACAACTCAGTAATGAGTAGAAAAATAACCCAATTTAAAAATGAGTAAAGAATTTGAATCAACATTTCTGTAAGTAAGATATATGCATGGCCAATAAGTCCATGAGAAGATGCTCACCATATTAGTCATCGGGGAAATGTAAATCAAAATCTCAGTGAGAGAGATTCATGCACACTAGGGTGGCTAGGATCAAAAAGTCAGATAATAACAAGTGTTGACAACGATGTGGAGAAACCGGAACTTTCATATGCTGCTAGTGGGAAACCAAACCAGTGCATTTAATTTAGAAAACAGTCTGGCAGTTCTTCAGATAATTGAATGAAGAGCTCCCTTACGACCCAATAATTCCATTCCTCACTATATACCAAAATAAATGAAAACATTGTCTACACAAAAACTTGTATATGAATGTTTACAGCATATTACTCACAAAGTAATATCCAAAAGGTGGAAACAATCCAGATGTCTATCAACCGATAGATGTATAAACGAGATGTGTTCTACAGATAAAATAGAGTAGTATTCAGCCATAAAAAGAAATGGAGTACTGATACATGCCACAGCTTGGATGGACCTTAAGAAACATTATGCTAAAAAAAACACAAAACAAAACTTTATGCTAGTGATAGAAAGCAGTTACCTGTGTCCACATATAAAATAGGAGTCCATTCCTGTGAATGTCCAAAACTTGAAAATCTGTAGAGATGGAAAGTAGGTTGATGGTTACTTAGGGCTGGGAGTGGATTGGTAGGGGGCTGATAACTAAAGGGTGGTAGCCAAAGTTTCTTTTAGAAGTGATGAAATGTTCTAAAATTGGCATTTTTTTTTAGACATATGATGTTGATTTTCTTTCTTTGTTTCATTTATTTATTTTTTGGCTGACTGTTTTCATTGCTGTTTGCAGACTTTTTCTAGTTGCAGTGAGTGGGGGCTACTCTCTATTGTGTCCATGAGCTTCTCGTTGTGGCAGCTTCTCTTGTTGTGAAGAATGGGCTCTGGAGCAAAAGGGCTCGGTAGTCGTGGCCCATGTGCTTCAATGCCCCATGGCATGTGAAATCTTCCTGGACTAGGGATCTAACATGTGTCCCCTGAATTGGCAGGTGGTTACTTAACCCTGGACCCCCAGAGAAGTCTTGACTATGGTTTTAATTGCTCATATTTGTGAATGATTAAAAACCATTGAACTGCTCAACTGAACTGCATATTATATGAATTATACTTCACAATTAAACTATTAAAAATAATGCCATATAAATAGAATCTTCAGGAAAAAAAAAAACACTAGGGTAATATGCAATATAGTGAGTACTACTTTGCATGAAGAATACAGACCCCAGCATCATCTGAAATGGGCTCTTGTGTGAGCTTATGTGATCCCCAGCTCTATGACTTTAACCACCAGAGGCTCTTTTCTCACTTCAGTAATGGAGATATCATCACCTCCTTTAAAAGTTGTT